ACATAAAAAGCCTTCTAGCTGTAGATGATAAAAGACTTACAATAGCTGTGGTTAACTTATTACTGATCATTTTCAAAAGGGAAAAACTTGATGAGAGTTCATTACAAGAATAATACTGCAACTGACAAGGAAATGTAGTTGTTTCTGGCATGCAAAACAAGATAAAAGTCAATCCAAATAATTTTAGACAAAATAGCTATGAACAGAATAATTAACCCTATTTTGAAAGAAAGAGGAGGTATTGTATCTAATTTATAAAATGCCTGAACATAATCTTCTATACAGAAAAAACAACTCAGATATAATAATCCTGACATAATATACCATGAATATGCCAAGCATATTGTTAGACTATACCAGAATATATCAAGAATATCAAGGAAGAGATTTAGTAATCTGGAATAGGTCTTAAATATTTGTACATTCATAAAATTTCAGGCCGGGCGCAGTGGCTCACGCCTGTAATCCTAGCACTCTGGGAGCGAGGTGGCTGATCGCTCAAGGTCAGGAGTTTGAAACCAGCCTGAGCAACAGCGAGACCCCATCTCTACTATAAGTAGAAAGAAATTAATTGGCTAACTAAAAATATATACAAAAAATTAGTCAGACATGGTGGCGCATCCCTGTAGTCCAGCTACTCGGGAGCTGAGACAGGAGGATGGCTTGAGGCTGAGGCAGGAGGATGGCTGAGCCCAGGAGTTTGAGGTTGCTGTGAGCTAGGCTGACGCCATGGCACTCTAGCCTGGGCAACAGAGTGAGACTCTGTCTCAAAAAAATAAAAATAAAATAAAATAAAATTTCATAGGTAAAAGATGTGAGTCCCCAATTGAAAACTAATGACTAGGAAGATGTTATTAGTAGAATCAAAATAAAATACAAAGTTGAGACCAAGTTAACATTAAAAAAAACCTGAAATTGGCCAGGCATGGTAGCTCACGCCTATAATCCCAGCACTTTGAGAGGCCGTGGCAGGAGGATCACTTGAGCCCAGGAGTTTAAGACCAGCCTAAGCAACATAGTGAGACCTCGTATCTATTGAAAATAGAAAAAATTAGCCAGGTATGGTGGTGTGTGCTGTAGTCCCAGCTACTTAGAGGCTGAGGTAGGAGGATCCCTTAGGCCCAGGAATTTGAGGGTATAGCTATGATGATGCCACTGCATTCCAGTCTTCACAGCAGAGCAAGACCTTGTCTCAAAAAGAAGCAAAACTGAAGTTATGACTGAAAACACTATACTGTCGTTGTCTAATATCTGGCTAAGTAACACCAAAACTCCAACAAATAGAAAGATATCCTTGGCCAGTGAGGGCACTGATGAATTTGTAGAAACTTCCCATACAGCATACAATTTCTGAAATGTTTATGTTAATAACATTTTACCTATACAGCCAGGCATGGTGGCTCATACCTGTAATCACAGCCTCTTGGGAGAATAAGGCAGGAGGATTGCTTGAGGCTACAAGTTCAAGACCAGCCTGGGCAAAAAAAGAAAAAGACCAGCCTGGGCAACATGGACGCCATCTTTAAAAAAATAATAAGTAACATTTTACCTATACCAATTTAACCTATAAAAGCCATCTCTTCTCATTCAACAATTCTTCCCATGTAACTCATCAATAATAACATATCAAATAAACTTAATTATTTCTAGCACTTCTCTTTTTACAAGGTGAAAGATCAAATCCTTCGTGATTATCCATGGGCCTTCTGGGACATGATTAAGACAAGATCATGAATCATTGAAAAATAGTACTTGGCTCTCTATTTTACCAAAATGACAATAAAAAGATTTTAAAAGTAAACATAGGAAGTAACATGATTGTAAAAATCCTTAGCTCTTTCCTAAGCAGGAAGACTTTGCTTTCTTAAATAATCAAGGACATAATAAAGTCAATATAAACCATAGAAGATTACAAAGATTACAGAATCTTTGTTATTAGGGAAGATTATTCAGAAGGTAAAGCAAAACATTTACAACTTGCTATTAAGGACAGACCAATAATCAAAAAACTTTTGTCATTTTAACAGTGAGAAAACCAAATTCTAGTTTTGCATCAGTATATTTGATACTAAAGTTCTTTTTGTAAATCTTATAAATAAACTCATCAAACCTTAGCCAGCTTTAACCTTAACAAATAAATTTCCCTTTCTATGAATTCTCTACAATTTTCTATATCCATGCACATCCTTTATAGTACAACTTCTCTAAGTGGCAAAAAAGAACGTGTTCATTAATAGACCCAAATATATATATATATATATATATATATATATACATACACACACACACATATATATATATATATCCTGTTTGTAACATATAAAAAATAAGCACAAGCACATCAACCCAAAATTATACATAGTAATTAATGTTTCAGCATTCTCTTAGGAATTGTCTAGGTGTCTAATGAATATTCATTAATTAATCCAATTTAGTATCAGCCCAAAGTTTTTAGTTACCAAAAGATCTTATGAATTATCTTCAAGCTGATATACTATAAAACATAATTACTGTTGAAATAAATTTTGTCAGAATAATGACTCAACTTGGTTAAACAAATTTTCATTTTTCACAATCTTAAGTATTTAGTAGAAGTAATATTAGCTCACTCAACCAGTAAATCTAGATATGTTTAGGAAGAACATGCCCAAGTAGAATAAAAATCTACCTGTGTATTATACCTAACACTGATAAATCAGAAAAGACATAGCTAGTTTTAGTAAACCAAAATTGTTACATTAGTCTTATTTGCCAAGGATTTAACTAAATTATGTGAACTTGAATTCTTAAAACATTTGACTTTGTTTTTATAGGGATACATTTTTTAGCACTTTGAAAGGCTTGAAAATTCATTTCCTTTCTGAGAATTTTAAGAATATTCTGTTTATCTAAATACTTATTATTTCTATAAGCCAATGAGAATAGAGCTCCTTTACTTTAAGAAATATTATAATCTAATTTGGTGATACCATCCAGAAGTAGGAAAATGTTACACATTCACACAATGAGACATAAAGGCTTCTCTGAATGACATACATCATCATCATCATCAGTTTTGTTATTCAGGCTATTGCCATGGGGAGAATGTTCATTAATGAGGAACATTTTAAAGAAAAAGAAGGGAGCCAGGAGTTATGGGAGTCATGAGGAAGGATGGCATGGGTCTTTCCTTGGAATATGTCAGGACAACGTGGGACTTTGTAGTTCACTGTTTCTTGGAACACAAAAGAGAGGGAGGGTATCTTAACCATCAGTGCTTTCCAGAAGCACAGGGCTCAGATAAGTTTAGTACTGTCAATGAGATGAGTCTACTTTATCAATTTTGTCTATAGAATTTCTCTGTATTCTCCTTTATATGCCATATTATTTCCAGTTGCCCTTTTTGTTTAGATGATTGGATTTTGGTTTTGGTTTTTCTATGCTTATGAGTTGTCTCCCTAACTTAATTGTAGGTTCTCTGAGGGAAGGAAGTATGCCTTGTATTGATTTGTATTCCTCCTCCCCATCACCCTCCTCTTTTTGCCTAGCACTTAGTGTTCTGTCCCATCTACCCAAAAGTTGTTGATGTAACTTTAGGACAGATTATCTCTTTAGGAGAACAGATTATCTCTTTTTTATCTCTTTTTTTTTTTTGATGTGCTAAGGAAGTAGGCTTATAAAATGTAAGCTTTTCATAATTGGAATATAACATTCACATCCAAGAACTTTCAAAGTCACATATTTAGTTATTTACAGAGAATTCATAAACAGGCTAATCATTTTCTTTCATTGTTTTCTTCCTGGTTGTATACCTAAAGCCAAGCTATTCTTTGGCTAGATGATTGCTGAGTTCACCTTCATGCAGCAAAATCAATGTCTAGAGGTATTTTTTCCCAACTTCCTGATTGCCAACATACCTGTCTCATTGGTTCAGCCTGTGAACAAGGGCATTGTTTAGAATATGAGATGTTATTATGGAAGAGATTTCATGAAGAAGCTTATGTATTGTGTAGGCACTTGAACAACCTTACAGTGTGATGGTAGCAAAGATGCCGTTTTAACTGTTGCTTATGCCTAGAATTCTGTTTCAAATATTAACAAAACCTCAGGGAGAATTTAGAAAAAAAAAAATCAGTTGGATATTTGAAAGATCTATGGAAGCAAAAAAAATGAAGCATTTAGGATGAGGCCTTAAAAATAAATTATAATACATTCTTGATGATAAAGAATGTTCTTTTACATCTAATCAGCAAGGTTTAATGGAAGTGTAATAAAAGAGCAGGTTAACATTGACAAGAGGTTCCAGTAATGTGGTATCACCAACAGCAACAAAGTTAGAGAACACTAGTGAAGTCCATGAAGACAATTCTACCGAAGGAAACAAAATAACTTTAGAAAAGACTACTTTACTCTTCGTTGTAATAATTACATTTACAGAAAGGCACACTACTGCCCAGGAGGTTGTGCATTTGTTCATTTGACACTCAGCTTTCATGAACAACAAGTGCCAAGACTTACTCAAAAAACAAACGAAAAAAAACTTCTAGGTTATGTCTTAGAGTCAGTACAGAGAATCCAGTCTCCAACATCTTCTACATCTGGCTGAGCAAGATTGTCTGAAAAGGCCCCTTCTAGAATCTAGCTTCCTTAAGTATCCTGTAAGTGTTAATCAGTGTTCATCTTGACAACCCAGGGTACTACAGTTTTTTTTGACATGATTCCGAAATCCTCAGAGAAAGGTTCTATCTTGTTCAATATAGTTATAATATTCCAATGCTTTGAAAACCTGGGACCCTGCATGGAAAATGTTACCAGTTTACCTGAATATTTTCTTTACCAAAACACTTCATTCCCTGATCATTCTGAGCCATTTACTGCATAATCTTTGTAGGTGAGTTTTTATTTTTCTTAAAAGAAGGGGAAATTTTAAAAGACTAGATCTCAAGGGTTAGATCATTGGCTGTAAAGACACCCTTGGATTGCTTTTTGGCTGTTGGCTGTAGCAACTTGTTTTCTTGCAGAGATGAAGCATCTGGTTTTTGTTATCTCAATGATGCTGTCCTGGGAATATTACGATTGCGACGGAAATTTGACCGTATTCTCTATGTGGATTTGGATCTGCACCATGGAGATGGTAAGCCCTTCAGTTTCAAAGATGCTTTGCTGCTAGGACAGCAGGTTCTTATCAGTTAAGCTGCTTCTAGGCAACTAGTAAGAGGAGGAATATCTGTTGCAATTGAAATTTTCCTAATTGCGAATTCTAAAGTAGGTAGTATAGAGATTCCTCTAACTGATGCAATTTCTGCTTTGCTGCCCAAGACAGGCTCCTGTAATTTCCTCTCTTCTCTCCTCCTATAGCAAAGCTCTATAGTAGAGAATGTTAAGAAGTGGAACTTTTACCTAGTGTTTACTCCCATGCTCAGTAACCTCCATCAGGCTGTTTCTATTGATTCCAAGCAAAATCTGTGGTTAGGAATGATAGCCTTATCTCTTCTCACTGATGCTTCTGTCAAGACAAAATGGATATATGATGGGCTAACATTCTGAATTTTTCATCAATAAGCTACCAACACATGTAGTAATCAGAATCTGTGCCATTTTCTTTGTATTACTAAAATATTTGGTCCTGCACAAACCCAGAACATCTTCCCTAATTTTTTTTTTTTTTTTTGAGGCAGAGTCTCACTCTGTTGCCCTGGCTACAGTGCTGTGGTGTCAGCCTAGCTCACAGCAACCTCCAACTCCTCCTGGGCTCAAGCGATCCTCTGCCTCAACCTTCCGAGTAGCTGGGACTATAGGCATGTACCACCATGCCCGACTAATATTTTTAGTTGGCCAATGAATTTCTTTCTATTTTTAGTAGAGACAGGGTCTCCCTCTTGCTCAGGCTGGTTTCAAACTCCTGACCTTGAGTGATCCTCCTGCCTCGGCCTCCCAGAGTGCTAGGATTACAGGCATGATCCACAGCGCCCGGCCTTCCCTAATTTTTAATAGAAGAATCTCTTAACAGTTTGCCTTAACCCATTAATCCCTTCTTAGAAGACTCCACTAAAAGGACTTATCCAACCCTCCTATGTACTTTCCATCTAGAATGTAGAGCTCTGGTGACAGTTGCCACATTCTGTTTCTTTAAGAAATCCTGTCTGTGATGCATAGTATTTCCATTCATCTAGGAACTTATCCAGTACATTATTAGTTAAGGTGATCCCTTCCCCTCCCCCACATCAGTGATTGCTGCTTCTCCAGGGATTTTTTCTTTGAGACAAACTATTAATAACATAATCAAGGCATAAGGAGGAAAAGAATAATATGTGTCTGAGATTCAAGTCAGCTCTGCTTCCAAAACAGAAAAGGAAGGAAGAAATTGTGGGGAGAACCTCCCCAGGGAGCTTTACTTGCATGGCTGCTACCATGGAACAATGAGAGAAAATTAAAGGTAACAGAAGAGAGGAGGGTTAAAACAACCAACATACTACTTTGAGAACCATGCTTGTTGAATATCTGCATATTCAGTGAGGACAAAACACAGCCTTGTTCAAAAACCTTCAAAGACTCCTATTGCATATAACAAGGGGCAACATTTGACCCATGGCTTATTTTTGTATAGCCAATGAGCTAAAAATGGTTAAGAATTTGTTTTCCATTTTAAAAGGGTTATAAAGGGGGAAAAATTGCATATATATGCAATAGTGACCTTAATAGTTTGCAAAAGCCTAAAATATTGACTATCTAGCCACTTAATTTGTTGGCCCCTGGCCTAGAGCAATGGTTCTCAAACTTGAATCAGGATGACCTGGAGAAGTTTGCTTTAAAGTGCAGATTGCTTGGCCACGGCCACCAGATATTTACATTTAGTAAGTCTGGCGTGGAACCAAAGAATCTACATTCTAACAATACTCCAGCTGTTCTGAAGGCCACACTTTGAAAAATAGTGAGATCCACATTCTTTACCCTGTCATTCCAGGCCTACCTCAAATAGGCCTCACCTCATCTTTCCAGCCATATCTGTCATTGCTAACTATCCAGGCTGCTCTACTCAATGAGCATGTCTCACTGTTCATGGCATATCTCACTGTTCCCATCTCCCTGACTTTGTCTCTTTTTTTTTCTGATTTAATTTTGCTTTCTCCTCCCCCAAATTCTACCCATTCGTTCAAGTTCCAAGAGTAGCAAATTTACCCTGACCACTCTAACCCAAGTGTTCTCTCCCTCCTTTCAAGTCCTGTATTGTTTATAGTGCTGATTTGATATTTAGTTATATATTATCTTATATTGTTAATTAATTTTTAATGTGTCTATGTCTTCTCTTCCCATAGAAACTTTAAGTTCCTTCAGAATAGAGACCAAGTTGTTTACTTCTTTCTATCCTATACAATGCCTCAAACCAACAGTACTATGCACATAGTAGTAGTTCAGTAAAGTATTTGTTGAATGAATGGATGATTATGAAATTCAAACTATTAGTATCAGAGTTCAAGAATAGAATCAGTTCCATAGAGCCACATAAGAATGAAATAAACTGTCACCTGAAACCGTTCTTTCCATTTGCAATGTTATTTCTACACCCGTTAGAGTTTCCTGTTTTAGCCAACTTTTATGGTGTGTTTCATTTCAGTTTATTTCCCCTCTTCAGCACCTCCCTTCCAGTGACCCCTGCCCCACCCCCAAACTCTTACACATTTGGTTTATTTTAAATCTTCCATGATTCTATAACTGGAATCCTGTGGTGGCTTCACTGGCCACTCCTACCCTGTTCTCACCTTCTTTCGTCTACCTAACCACTCTCCTATTTCCCACCAAGTCTATATCCTCCACCTATTTGTCTACGTCCTCTTTTAAGTATGATTTTATAACCATGCCTAATGGTATTTCCCATGAGAAAAAGTACAAATGGCTACTAAACTTATGAAAAGGTGCTCAATACCCTAATACTCAGAAAAGGGCAAATTAGAACAAGACTATTCTTTCTTCTTAAGATTAAAAAGAATAATAATAGCCAGTACAAGTCAAGGTGTGAGAAAATGGAAACTCTCATGCATGACTGGTTGAAATGTAAATTGGTACAACATTTCTGGATGGATAAATAATCAGGATTTTCATGAATTATCCTTGTTTAGACTTCAGTTTCTAAGTTGAAATGCTATTTTCATTTATTTTGTTTTGTTTTGTTTACTTCATGCTTTGTGCCTGGAGTCTTTAACTGGTTTTAACTGCCTCCCTAGGGCAAAACATAAGGCTTGGGAAATTCAAACATACCTGTTATATACAAATAGAGTTAATATTTTTTTAAGGTCTCTGTTGTCCTCTAATGAAGACTGAAAACATTAAGTAAACACAGAGAGAATTTCTTTGTTTGACGTAGAAAAGAGGATAGTACCTGAGATTGCTAATTGTCCTTCTATTATATAGACTGATTATCTGAACTTAGTATGACTACATGTGTTTCTGAGAGGAAAGAAGTAGAGGGGGGCAGTGTGTTTTTTCTATATAAGTAGTGATTTGTGCAGGTTACTTCAAATCCCAGCCTTTATAATATCTCCCAGGCCTCTAATTATTTTCTGATACTGTTTAAATGGAAGGGAGACCACTTTCTAGAAAAGATTTCCCCCCATCTTTCTCCAGGCTTTAGAACTCTGTTAGTAATGTGCTATTAAGAGACAAGGTCACTGCCTGTTTTCAGCCTTCTTTGTTGAAGCCAGAAAGAAGTACTATAGAGGGGCATGGTGGCTCACACCTGTAATCCTAGCACTCTGGTAGGCCGAGGCAGGCGGATTGCTCAAGGTCAGGAGTTCGAAACCAGCCCGAGTGAGACCTCGTCTCTACTAAAAATAGAAAGAAATTAATTGGCCAACTAAAATACACACACACACACACACACACAAATACAAATTAGCCAGGCATGGTGGCACATGCCTGTAGTCCCAGCTACTTGGGAGGCTAAGGCAGGAGGATTGCTTGAGCCCAGGAGATTGAGGTTGCTGTGAGCTAGGCTGATGTCATGGCACTCACTCTAGCCTGGGCCTGGGCAACAAAGTGAGACTCTGTCTCAAAAAAAAATAAAAAGAAAGAAATACTATAAGTTACATAGAACTTTGGATGACCTGCATTTATAAATAAATCTACATTATAGAGAGGCACTTTATAATTAGGTTTTCATTATATGATGCCTAACGTTTATATTGGTCATATTTTTCAAAGGATTATCACATTGTACTTCTTTGAAAAAATCCTAAGGATTTAACTAGAACCACATAAACAAAACAGAAAACTTCCAAGATGGTGCCAGTTTCCTTTATTCAGTTCTGTTGATAATGCTTCATTTTGAGCTCTCAGCCTTCCTCAACTTTTAGAACAAGTTATCAAGGAGAACCCACATATCCCACTGCTTAGAAAGGGTTATAGTTTGCCATGAATCTGGAAAATAACCCCCAAACTTCACTTGAGGCCAAAGTTTTATCTCATCTTGTAATTACAGAGACCAGAGGTTTATATTACTTTTATTCCTCACCTTGTTGGCTTTATTATTGCTGCCTTCTCATCTTCCCTCCTTCCCACTACTGCCTTCCAGATTTTCAGGTATATGATGAAGTGATTCTTCTGATGTTTGTTTCTCTGGTAGGTGTAGAAGATGCCTTCAGTTTCACCTCCAAAGTCATGACTGTGTCCTTGCACAAATTCTCCCCAGGATTTTTCCCAGGCAAGTGATCTATGTGCTCAGTATTACATTTGCTGAATAAACACTGAAGTTCTTCTATACATTTCTTATATCTTATATTAGGAGAGTTCCATGCTGTTAATACCTTACTGGTGCTATTCTATGCAATTTTAACACAGGTCACTTCAGGTGACAATAACAAGAGGAATGACAATAACACTGTTCTTCTCTGCCAGATGATTTTTATGGACTGTCAACAGACAAATCATTTATGCTTACTAATACTATCAGATAACCCATGTAACTCCTAACATCCTGATAATTGCAAAGATATATTGATATTACATCAACCTAAGAAGCATGAAAAGTCAAGCAAAGGAGTTAATCTCTTATTTTTTATTTGATGCAATAAGATGGAAACTAATGTTTTTCAGTTTTCTTATGGTTTGCATGCTTCTCCAACATCTTGTTTACAATGGTTACTTCTCCATGTTGTTTTTCTTAATTTAATTCCCTTAGAAACCATCACTAATTCAGGATTGTTCTCCTAATTGACCTTTTTGGTCTTAATAATTCCTATCAGAGAATCCTTTAAATTTTCTAGTTTCTCATATCCTTAATAACTAATCATGTTGTTCTTCTCTTTTGCAGGAACGGGTGATGTGTCTGATGTTGGCCTAGGGAAGGGACGGTACTACAGTGTAAATGTGCCCATTCAGGATGGTATACAGGATGAGAAATATTACCACATCTGTGAAAGGTAAAGCAGCAACACTTAGCCAATAATGAGTAGATTGCACTTCTACAGGATGAAATTTCCCCCATGTCACAGAATTCCTATTTTCAAGAAGCAATGTGAAAAAGAAAACCACTACATACCCACACAGCTTTTGTATACTGCTCATTATGCTTATTTGATCAGGTAGCCATCCCTGTTTGGGAGAGCCGAGTGGTTAGACCAGAGCTGTGTTCCAGGTTTGATCTTACCTGCCATCTAGTATGATTAAGGCCATCCCAAGAACAGAGCTTATAGGCTGTTCCGGGGACTCCTTTGTCTGCTACTTTCTTAGCTAAAGAAACCTGCATGTGTGCAATTTCATTAGCCTGGCAGGGTTCATTATGGAGACTTGTGCTCCTCTCCACTGGTGTGAATATTAGAGCGTTGACTATTTTTATTTATCATGGGTTCTTGAATTCTGTCCACTGTATTAAAATTGGAGTCAAAAATCTGTTTTAACTACACTAAGGATTAAGATTACAGACACTTGCAGGCAGACAGTTTGGTGCCAATGTGTAAACCATTGGAGCTGAAAAGCCCTACAGAATGGGGGGGAGCGCTAAACACATATTCATAAAAATTGAGATCAGTCAGGCACAAATTCACTGCTGACAATGACAGCAGAGAAAGCGAGTCTGACTACAAGTCAGCCAGTCAACATTGCTGCACGTAAGTAGTGGGAGCTGAGGTACTCTTGACCCCTCTCCTATTCAACTCAGTTTTCTCCCAACCTCTGGTAGAAAACAGTGACTTCACAAAGGAGCCTACCTGCACTGGCTATCATCACTGGCAGTTGTATAAACAAAGTAGAACTATTAAAAAATTAAAACTTTATGCTTCAGAAGTGCCTCTTAGCTCAAGAGATTTGGCAGCCATCATTCAGTCATTCAGCCGCACTAGCCTCTTCATGATTTTGGTCATATCCCCTAGCTACCTCTGTATTGTCCGACTGAAAAAGACTTTCTTTTTTTTGGTGCCTGCCATTGATGGTTTAATTGCCCTTCTTTATTCCCCTTAGGCTCTGTTCTATCCTTGAGATGTGCAGATCAGAGCTGCTTATGTAACTCTACTAATGAAGATGTCCTGTGGTTCTGTGTAAAAGGAGAATTGTTTTGTTTTTCTTTTAATCTCCTTCTTGACAGTGCCCAACGTTTTGTTGCCCTTTTTTTTTTTTTTTTGTCATAGCAGGAAACAAGGTTGTTCTGTTTGTCACACTGTCCACAGGGTTTCCTAGAGCTCTTTCCTGGGTCTTAATTGAAAGGTCAGCACTCGTCATCCTGCAAGTATAATTTGTAATACTAGCCCTTCCTAAATGGATTGATTGCCTTACATGTGTCCCTATTGAAACTCATCTGCCAATCAGGAAACCTCCTGAGATTGTCTTTTATCCCCCATCAACTTGGCATTTCACTGTCTGGGAAAGCTGAGCATTATATGGAGATTTGAGGATTTCCCAGTGCCCATCCCCAAGGAAATCTATTTATCCTTCTTCAGTCAGAAAAATATCTGTTTCTCCCTTGTATTTTCTTTTTTCCCATATAAACCAGTTCCTACTACATGATTTTAAAATAGTTTAAATCCCATGGTAATTCATGTTAGCCTTGGTATCAAACTTAATTAGAAGCATTTTAAATGTAAATTTAAGGCCTGGCACGGTGGCACATGCCTATAATCCCAGCACTTTGGAAGGCTGAGGTGGGAGGATCACTTGAGACCAGGAGTTTGAGACCAACCTGGGCAGCATAGTGAGACCCCCATCTCTACAAAAAATTTAAAGAAAATTAGCTGGGCATGGTGCGTGCCTGTAGTTCCTGCTACTGGGGAGGCTGAAGCAGGAGGATCATTGGAGCTCAGGAGTTTGACATTGCAGTAAGCTATGGTTGTACCACCGCGCTCCAGCCCGGGTGACACAGTGAGATCCTTTCTCAAAAAAAAAAAAAAAAAAAAAAAAGATAAGTTTAGCCATAAGGAAAAGATCCATAGAAGATTATATATGATTTCACTTTATAGAAACCATGTTGGCCACCCGCACCCCAGTAGATTGATGGCTTTTGTGTGCAGGAGGCTAGGATTTATTAAAGATTCTTCTAGCTTGCCTACTAAAGAACCAGACACTCATCAGTTTATAGTTCCTGGGGCCCCTTTTGCCTGTGGAGCCCCACCAGCAATCCACACAGTGATCATCCAGAGTAACAGGTTCCAGGTTTTCATTAGAGGTACAGTGCTTTTTTTCCTTTGATTTCCTTCAGAAGTCAAGTCTGGTCAGAGCATCACGTGAAGGCACCTCTGATTTTGAGGGTGCCAGCAGGCTTCCTGGCCCAAACATCTCTCCCATCTGTTGGACTAATACCTGAAATTCCTTTAACAGGAAACACACTTTTATTCTGCAGTTAGAAATAGGCCTTAAAATGAAATTTGGGCACAGCCTTTCCTCCTCACCCCTACTCTGCCATAGGTGTTTAGTTTTACAGAACCTTTCCTGACAGCAGGTTTTGAAAGCATTAGAGCGTGAGCTCCCTAAATATTCAGAGGGGCAAGAGATGGGTAGTGGAGCAGTGTAGGGAAAAGGGTACAAAAACCCGAAATAATCTTTGCCAACCAAGCAGTTTTGGGGAGGGCTAGCTCTGGTAACTTTATCACTCAGTCCCAGTCACTATGCTTTTGACTACTGTAGTGCATGGCTTAGAACCAAAGTCTCTTACACACTTGCCATTATTACCCCTGACCTATCTGCCTACCTCAAAAGATATATTAGACATAGGAATGGCTTACTCTTTTTAAAAAAGTCATTCAGTATATCTACTGTCTCCTTTTCATCCTTTTTGTTCCATGATCCCACTAGTTCTGTGGCTCATTCCTTACTTGTGATACATAAAGGAACTCTTATTGCTGGTTCACTTTCAAGATGCTCTCATTTTTGTTTGCCACCCAATTGCTAGTTTGCTCCTAAATGGCTTCTCCCTATGGGGTTTACTTAAGCTATTTTCCTTTTCTTCCTTCCTTCTTCCCTCCCTTCTTCCTTCCTTTTTTCCTTCCTTCTTTTCTTTTTAAATAAAATACCCTTTTCTCCTGCCATAACCTTTTGTATTTTGCCAGCTAGGGAAGGAGGAACTTAGTGGTTTCAACTTAAGGTTCAATACTCCTCCTTTATTAAACAATTGGCTTAGATTTTCTCTTGTAATAGACTGGATATGGAATCTTTACATGAACATTTCCTAAAACCAAAAGATCTTTGGTCCCATTTTATGTAAATAACAATTTCACAATTAGATCTCTTTAAGTCATTGAATACTAAGGGCAAGGACCACTAATTCCCAATGGCTTCCCATAATTTCCATGGGAGCCACTAGAATTGGTATTACAAATTAGAGCCCTGTTTTAACAAGCATAAAGGACCATGGACATTGCTCTCATAAGCACGCCGACTCCTTCAACTGGAAGCTTATGACACCACAATAGAGATGACAGAGGTATATTATATTTTTGATTTACATGAAGGCCCCCCAACCCCACTCCCATGCCACACACACGTATACCCACAAAGTTTGGCGGGAGGGAGGATATTCTGCAAAAGGGAAGGTTTGCTAGTTCTCATGCTTTGTCATCTGGAATAAGAAACACTTCTCTGCCTATGTGTAACCTGTTTGCTCTCTAAGTATATTTGGATGCACTCTGAGATAATATTAATGTTTATTACCTAAAATGCTATGTTGATGAATTTGGGAGAATTTATAGTTAAGGACTGTGAGAGGGAAGGACAATAACAAGTATTGCTTTGCTCTTGGCTCAAGGGAGGGTTTGATAAATAGTAGGGCACCACTCTGAGACCTCAAGTCTTGCAAGATGACCCACCTGCTTGCCCACTCTGAATTACCATGACATATAAAGAGTTTGAGTGAAGAATTTCAGAGTTGTACTAATACTTCTTAGTTTGTATACTGCCTATCATTTTATAGCCCTAACAGCAAGACAGTATTCTTCCTAAATATCTGATTAGTATATATCTCACAGGAAAATTATATATATATATGGTGCTCATAATATGTATGAATTCAACGCAGCATATGCATCCTGAAAAGTTTTGGAAAAAATCACATTAAGAATAGTCAGCTATTCAACTTTGTAAGATAATTAAGTATAGACATTGTATAAATATTTCACCAAAGGAAGACACATTGTTAAACAGAATTCTCAATGAATAATACTCACGAAAGACTCTATTAAACTGGAGTTCTCATTCAGTAGCAGTCTTTATATGCAAAACTTTGCTAATTAGAGCTATTGACTCGACCAAAGGAATACCTTTATTTTAATGAATTCATTAAAATAAGAATCTACCTGTATTTGGTCCTTGGCCTATTTACATTGAGTTCTGTTTACCTTGAGTTCTGCTTGTATTGTATAGCTCAAAATTGAAAGAAACTTTTCCCCCTTCAAAGATCACTGACCAAAGGGAGAATTCAATCAGAGACCCCAGAAATTTAAAAAAACAACTTAATATTTTATGTCCTTCCTTTTATGAAAGAAATATTATACTTTTCTATTTTATTTATTTTTCAGAATATTACAGTGATATAAATGTTTTGGTTATATAAATTGCTTTTGTATTGTTTGAGTCAAAGTTATAAGTGTGCCCATCCCCCAGATAGTGTGCATTGTACACATTAGGTATGAATTTACCCATCCCCCCTCTCCCCACATGCTTGATTTCTGATGAATGTTATTTCCATATGTGCACATAAGTGTTGATCGATTAGTACCAATTTAATGGTAAGTATATGTGGTGTTTGTTTTTCCATTCTTGTGATATGGTCTCTAGCTCCATCCAGGGTAATATAAGAGGTATTAGTTCACCAATTTTTTATGGCTGAGTATACAGCCATAAAATGTGGTATACATATGCCACATTTTATTAATCCGCTCATGTATTGATGGGCACTTGGATTGTTTCCACATCTTTGCAATTCTGAATTGTGCTGCTA